ATGAAGGCCCAGTAGAATTTCTTGCAATTCCAATGTGAGTTCAATCGTTCATCCCTCACAGCCTGCACCAAATCCTAGCGCTCGATGAGGTCCGTCTAATAAGCCTCTCAACTTCCTCGTGAGAGCACTCGTGCTTTCTCGGAGTCGGGGCGTCCCGTGAGCTTAGTTTATAGTGTTCGACGCCTTTCCTGTGGCGAGCATCTGAAACCTAAGCCATAATGAAATGCTGTATCTTTATACACGCTTGGCCTCCTGCCATCTGTGTCTGATTGTATAGCGACAAGCCCAGCCCTGAAATTAGAGACTGAAGGGGTCCATCCCTCCTCCCGATTTCCTTCAAACCACGCGATGGATCCTGCCTCGATGGCCTCGGTCGTCGGCAGTGCTCCGGGATCATGGAGAGCAGCGTGTCTCAGTTTGTTCTCTCTCCCAACGTGGAAGACTAAGAGCGAGGCCCCTGTGGTGACGGGAAACCGGAACGAGCATGGCGTGCCTAACGTTCAGTAAGCATATTCCTAGTCGTCTCCGAGCTCCTGAGGAGCAGCGAAGGTGGGGAAAGACAATGCTAGCTACACGATTCTCAGTGGAAAGGATGCAATCATCGCGGCGTTGACGCCCTTTCACAAACCTCGCCGGTCCGCCAGAGGACTTCGGGGTTTTCACAAAGAGCAAAAACAACGGTCGCTCTCGACCGGAGCACAGAGCTCACCGCCCACGTGTTCTCCGCTTCCGGTTGAATAACAGCCTCACTCTACGCTCTAGATGCATTTCATCTCTGTCTGAAAAATTTTCGCCGCTCCTAAGTAGTACCCTGTGAATTTCCAGCTCTCATTTCCGTGATAGATGCGAGAGAAATAACAGGTCAAATCAAGAAGAGCTTATTGGTGCCTTCTTCTTGAAATGTTTAGTAGAAAGTCAAGTTAGAGCTTGCACACTCTGCCGACGTCGAGCGTTTCCCGCATTCTCGCTTGTTTCAAAGTGTTCAAGGCAACTCCTTGGTCGTGGACATCTTTCGCAAGCAAAATCAATCCGGAGTGAATCTTCTATAGCTCCGCCGCTGATCTCGACGGAGCCCCTGGAAGCTTCGGTACAGTTCGAGAAAACGTCCAAGGACTCTCAATCCGATTCCTTATAACTTTCACCCTATCAGTTCCGGATGGTCAACGCTACAGGTTCTCGACTAGATGGTGCGATACCACACTGTAGACATTGGCACGCGCACTCTGGACGCTGAAGGACGACTCCCACTCTCTTCATCGATAAATCGTTCATCTCTTCCAGGCATTGGAGAAAATGAAACCAGCTGTGATGGCTGCGACCGACTCGGGAAGTATCGATCGGGAACATCTGCCTTGGGTGAATTCAACGGTGAACTTGAGCATCAGGGCGAGCCGGGATCGGGCTCGCAGAGTTCTGAACGGACACAGACAACTCATCGCCGGACAACTGAGCGCCGACATCTCATCGCCGAACAATTCATTGCCGAGAGAACTCATCGCCGGACAGCTCAACGCCGAGCCTCCATCACTCTTCTTCGAGTTTCCAAATGAAGACCCCGCTCTTATCGAGCTCTAATTCACTTCATATTTCTCGGCTTAAGCTACCTTAATGTACCTACAACGATCTTCACAACGTAAAATGACTATACATACAGGGTATATACTCTCCTTCGTGTTTCCAAACAGCCTTGATGAGATCGGAGAAGGTGCCATGGATCAATATCCTAGCACCGCCTGCGCTAGCGTCAGGAAGTTCTCGCCGGGAAGAACGAAGATGCCGAACGTGCAGAGAGATATTGAACTTGAGAGGGGAAAAGCGCAGCTCCCTTTGTTGTCATCCGATCGCTGTACAACCAGCAATATCCCTCAAAGAGAGGAAATATCCACCTAAATCGTCGTAGGTACATTGTGGTATCCTGAGCCGGCGATGAGTTGTCCGGCGATGAATCGTCCGGCGATAAGCTGTCTCAGCGTTCAGTTGTCAGCGATCAGATGTCGGCGATGAGTTGTCCGGCGATGAGTTGTCATGTACCGGGCTCTGAAACCGCGGAACCGCAGGGAAATCTTATTTTCCGAAACAGCGGAGTGGACAACGCTCAAGTCGAGCCGGAGGAGACGGACCACCTACGAAATTACCGAGAAACCCGAAATCCCCAAGCTTATTTCGAATAAAAGGCTCTTTCGGAAGAAGTGTCCGCTTTCTTAGGATGCGTTCTCACTCTATCATCTGGGTGAATCGGAATCCTCCGAGGCGCGCGATAGATGGTTGAATACACGATTTCTTGAATTACGAAGGGCGAGACCGTGTTTTTCGAACCGGTGGTCCGAGCGGTAATCGTGTTGCGAAGTACATACTTTGCGAGATGTCTGCCTTTTTGTTCGGGGAAGCTTCAGTTCTCGATTGAGGGATTCACTCGTCATTGCAAGGCAACTTTCTGGTTTACAGCTTGTCTGCGCTTGTTAGATCGAGCGCTGCCTGTGTTCGTTTCTGTTTCTTTAGCGAATGCAGTTATGTCTTTGAGCAAACTTCTCTCATCCGCACCCATATTGGATGATGAGTTTTCGGCTCCCAGAGCGGAGGTGGGCGCCTACGGGTGGTATATTGGGCGTGACTGTTTCCTTCCCGTTTATAATAAGTCGCTTAGACGCCCAATAATCAAGGCAGAGGCATTTTCAGAAATAATTGCTCCAAAATAAAAATGACTTTTCGTGATATAATTGCTGGTCATGGCTCCGTTGACAATGAATAGGTTTGGTATATCGAGATTACTCCATTCAAATCACTATCCAAGGCAAAAAAAGTAGTCATGGAGTAGTCATGATGAAGTCGACCGCGTACATCGCAATTTGCGAGTATCCATCCTCCATCCTCCCATATTTCGCGCTCTGCTGCTCTCGATGGAGAGCCTTCTAACTCCAGTCGTAGAAAAGCCCTTCAGTTCAGGGGGAAGCGCGTCGACGACGAATGTGGACTCGAATTCGGATAGCTCGGAAACAAGGGGAGGCTGGAACGGTGGTCGGAAGAAGGGAGGGCTGAGACTGGATGATTGACCCAGGACAGGAATCATTTCCGGGCATTCATACGCTCAGTATATCAGGATATCAGCTATACAGTGTAGCCTTCACCGAATCACCCACGACACGGGCCCCGTCACGGCAGCCGAGGGCGCGATTCTCGCTGCGGCTGCAGGTTCTACTCCGGCGGGTCTTGTACCCATGACTCTTTTTGCGGATCAGGGTTATTCAATGTTCAACCTAACTACCCAACTCGCCTCGGATTGTCTAACCTGCAGGTTCTCGACGCTAACTTAGTCTTCATGGACACATTTCAACGGCAGCGTCTACTGACCATTAGCTGATGGGGATGGATTTGATCCCTTTTTTTCATACTGTGAGACCCACCCCTGACCTGATTCAATTGATGTCGAGCCTCTGGAAGACCTCAAGAAGATTGGACGCGACCCCCTCATCGAGAATCCGGCTTGGCTGAAAGACATCTATCGGATATCCTCCTCGAGTTGTGAGTCGGAGCGATCCGGAGAGGAACCGCGAGCTCTCGATTAGCGAAGACATTTAATTGTTTTTGAGCTGCTCTCCGCCATCCTCGTTCAAGAGGATTAGGATGCACCTACGACCCCGAGCCTGAATATGATGATCCAGATGTCCGCGGACTTGGCCCAGAAGAGCACAGAGTCTTTAGCTGGATCACATGTGAACACCCGACCAGCTACCACAACACATTTTTCATGCGGAAGAACTCTCCTCATATACTCGTGGACGTCGTTAGCGATGGCGGCGGAAGCCGCGCGCGTCGACGAAATCATTGAGCGGACGACTGCGGCAATTTTTTCCGGCAGGTTCCTAGAACCCGTGCCGGCATTCAGAGCCAGGAATGAATCGCCGTAGATAGGTCTGCAATGGAGCGCGGTGGAATTAGACCATCTTGAATGTGTTCTCGTTCCTAGAACAGTGGTGCTCAAAAGATGGGACGACGCTCCGTCGGTCGGGCGCGGGCGGGGCCGCTGAATCTGCATCATGCCATCCCATAGGTTGTAGAGGTCGAGAGCCCCGCGAGACCTTTCCTAAGAGGACATCGGGGGCGAATTGTCCGTGGCCCAGAAATGACTAGATGAGACTCCTTTCGATGCTCTGCGAAAATTCGCTGAAGCCGGCCTGCGTCTCACGGGACCTCTCAACCTCTCTCGGCGCACGGGAGTGAGGCTTCCTCGGTGACTTGGGATTCGGCCCACAAACATATACATAATTTACCAATAATCAGGTGGGGATCGAAATTCCGAAACCATCCACCTCCCCCTTCAAGGGGTGACATGCAAGTGATCTATCGCTTCGGCATGGGGGTCGCTTCCCGAGAACGAGAGGCGTTGGTTAGTATCGAGAACCGCTGTCGTAGAGTCTACCGAGCAGAGAATTCACCTACGCGATGGAACCGTCGCATCGAGCTCCTTTGATGATCAAAAGAGCTAGCGACTGCCTTTTTAAGACCCCGAACAAAGCTATGTTCACGTGTTCTGGATGAACATCATCGGCATATAAGCTCGAACCACAAGCTACGATCCACCTGCAGCTCTTGTGACGTCTCGACAGGTGCGTACAAATCTTCAATGCGGGAACGGGGGTTAGAGAATGATCGTGGGAAGAATAAACGGAGGATCGATGGAGATCTGAGCGGACTCCGAGCAAATTACAGCAAACACGGTACTCTCTGAGGAATGAGTCTTCTTTCGACGCTGGTTTCGAAGCTCCGATCGATAACGCTCAGAACTCCCTGGAGCTCACCCCTGGTGAACGCGGTGTTGAAGTCCACCGTCATCTCGCACATCGTTTTCGATCAGTGTTACTTACTATCACCCTGATTCAGGGCGGGGACCGAGCCGGGAGGAGCTCCCGAGGATTCAAAGTTGATTTATAAGACCGTCCGTATTTATATACAATCAAACGCCGACTTTAATAACGAGTTTCGACCTATGGGCTAAAGTCAATTCATTGTCCGTCTAGGAACTTGGACAAGAAATCTTTTGGTTTTTCGGGGACCGAATCTCTGAAGAACGCCATAACGTGAGATTTTGTCTTGAACAGTCTGAGGGTTTCCACAAGCTCCATCTGGCCCTGTAAGAGTAACTTGAGTTATGACTGCGGGAGTCAATCCGCGCACTACTTGTCGGTCTGAGACAGTGCGACCAACGATAACAATCGGAATTTATCGAATCTCTTAGGTGTAAGGAATGACATACCTTCATGACCAGCAAGTCGATCGTACGGATATCACTGACGTTTCGGTTCATCTCGAATTTCTCCCGTATCTTGACTCTGCAGTCTTTTTCGCTGACCGATATGTCAAACTTGTCCACTGTAATATTAGGAAAAACCCGTGGCGATAATATTTGATCTCAGAGGGCTAGACATGGCCAACGATATGACGCTGCCAAGCATAGGTGCCGAATTCGAATGCGGGTTCCCCTGAAACTATTTGAGGACGAGACTTTCTGAAAGCATTCCAATGAAGTAACTCACTGATGGTGGGAATCGCACGGAACCAGGCCTTATATAGACTCATCACTCGACGTTTGGCTTCGGGCATGGTGGTACTCATCACCGGCTTCACCTTCACGGTGGAAAGTTTGATTAAATTGGACATTTCGACTAGTTTCGGAGAAAAACTCGATCAAAGTCAAAACAAGAGCGAATAGTGAGTGTTAGATGACGCTCGGTGCGAGCCCCGGACCCTTAAGTGGCGGAAGTCGCGGCGGGAGCTCATACCACGGTGGAATAATCGATGGTACCCGAAAATCGCATTCCACGCCGAGACTTCCATTTCGTTTCGTGCAGCGCAGGATGTGCGATACCTTCCCCGAGCCGACCGGCCTCGGAATCAGATGGCGACGCGTCCCGCCGGACGACTAGATGCACGCGGCTGATCCGACTTTTAAGGAAATCGTAAACAGTTTTGGAACACCTGATTGACGCAAGGATTTCTACGAGAACAGCTGACAGCAAGTTTCAAGATTCGCTCCGAGTCGTATGTGAGCTCGATATCCGCTGGCGCCAGATTGTGGGGCAGAATCCGTGAGGATCGATTCGGCCGAAACTCCGTCGCGACGTGTAAGCGATTCTTAGAGACATAGTGTTTGTGAATTGATCGGACTGCCCCTTGTCGTAGGGCGAAAATGGTTCAGAAGTCTCAGTCAGAGGAAAATAAAAGCGCCGACAACAACTCGTTGGAGAGACCTCGCACCGTCGACCATGGGTCGACGGATACAGACAGTGAGGCCGAAGGAAATGAACGAGGTGAGCTCCGTTTCCCCGTCCCGCCGCCTTCAGTTGTTCGATGCTCTCAGGAGATTAGATGTTGGAACCCGGTGACCTACACCCCAAGCATTCATTCATTCACAGATACCGACACCTCAGGTTATACTCTCCTGCCCCAGAGCGTCGAAGCGTCGAGGTCAGATTCCGAGGACGATTTCCCTCAAATCGGGGATGGCGGTTACATGACAGACTTGTCGCAGCCTCCGCACGAGTGGGTACCGACAGAGGCCGAGCTCAAACCCAGCTCGCATCGAGAGCTCGCATTGGATGAAGGTACGCGGAATCAGTGGATATATTTCCGCGTTCAAGATTCATATTCGTATCGAGCGACTATCTCGGAGCTAATTTAATTTCCTGCAGAACAAATCGCGAAAATCAAAACCGCGATGGCTGGGATCAAGCTACCCTCTTCTTGTCAACCCCCTTGGGCATCGGAGATTCCTGAGGCGGAATGGAACCGTCGACTGCAGCAGATCCTGCACAAGAAACAAAATGGAACAGAATAAATTGTGGCAGCTCTACCGGGCTCCGTGTCGACCGCTCCTCGACGTGTCGTCTTCAGTTACCGTTATCGAGATTGATGCCCTCCTGGATTTCACCAAGTTCAGGTGCCGGATTTTTTCCCCGTTCTCGGCTAGCTTCCAGAGCCAGCGTCGAAGAGCGAATTGAAAACGAAAGGAACATTCAGAATGACCTTGCAACTTTATTCGCAATAGAGAGCCTACAAATCCGACCCAACCGGGTTGCCCTCGACACGGGTTAATCAGTCGAGTTTCGGTTTTATCCATTCAACATTGCTACGATACTTCCTCTTGAGTTCGAGAAACCTGGAAAAGACGAGGGTTGGCTCAAGACAGTGCTGGATTTGAATGACACCCCCAGAGTTTCCATGAGTCTCCGCTTCGTTCGAGAGGACTCGACGAGCTGTATGGATGAATGAATATACCAGATATCGAGCAACTCACCTTTCTCGTCGCTGTTCCGGGGTTTCTATATGAGCGTGTCGATCACGAATTTGCTGAATGACTGATTTCACATATTTTTCCGCGTCGAATTCCTCGGCTTCTCGGATTTTGCATAGCAGCTCTTCCTAGAATCGATAATAACAGCTTCAGAGAGCAGAAGGTACAACCATGGATCGTATCGGAACCTTGATCTCAGCTGTATGATTTCTCCCAGGACACGCCTGCACGAGACTGCTTACCTTGAATTGGGCCTCCTTCGCCTTCTCCCTCCGGAACCGTAGCTTCGCGAACACAAAACGCATACGCTTCCTGCGAATGTTTTTCATTTTCGATCAGACGGATGAGAAGGGTGACTATCTATTTGCCTGAATGCTTTTCCGCCAACCGCAGAAAGTATTCGATAGTCTTCCCGCCCCGATTGACTCACCTGAGCTTCTTAAGCTTGTGTTTCTTCATTTTCCGTCGTCTGATCCGAATCAAGACTGCGCATTGGATCGCTGTGTTTTTCCGGGATTTCGGTTCTTCCATCGGACTCTGAATGATTCCGAGGTTCGGCAGGGTGATCTCTTTGTACCTTAGGTAAGGTAGCTCGACCTCAGCCTTGTTCGAAGGCGGCATGATTCTTGCTGGAGCGATCTGAAACAAGCGCCGTGAGCCCCGGAGCGCGATTCCCCGTTTCGAAGTGAATTTCTGGCTCTGACCCATAGCTCGGGGAACTTTACCCACCGAAGGTGAAATGCGCGGAGCCTGTATGATGCTGGTCGAGAGAGCCGGCGACGGCAGCAGCGGCGGCATGGAAACTGTTCTCGCAGCGCTGGGAACACTGTGTAGTCCACGGAAGATACCCGCAACGTTCACTAGGGAACGCCGCCACATTCTGGATTCCGCTTCCCGCCCGCCTTATGCGTGTTTTTCCAATTCGAGATCCTGTAGCCTCAGCTTCGCGTGTGCGCGGTGAGGACAACAACTCACACATCGAATCTCTCCCACAGACAGACGAATGCGTTTCCGCGTCCTACACACCCGCCGGATTGGTCGCATTGTGTCGATTCGAGTCTGTCAACAAGAGTCGACGACACTGAATGAGAGCATTGGCGCGATCGGTCGGACTCTTCGATTTCCTTCGAATCTTCCCGTCTATTCCTTGCGATGGGGACGTGCATACGGAATTCGTATTAACGGGAAAGACACCCCTCAGGCATGACCGAAACAGCTGATAGCGAAGAACGGATGCGCAACTGACGCAGATCCATCTACCACCGCAATGCTCCGTCATTCGCCGACATTCGCCGGTGTACTCCTGATTCAAGAAATTTCTAACAATCGATATGCGGAGGGGAGCCCCGCTGAGCACAGCTTCGAATTCCCGATGGGTACCACGGAGAAAACTCGAATTCACTGCATTCTACATAGTCTCCTGGAGGGAGTTTTCGAACGCAAAATGCGAGGCTTCACGAGCTAGGGGCCCATCCGGGATTTCTGGGCCCAGAGTGAGAATCGCGCTTCAAGCCCTCCCTCTAACGGGGCCTGCTTCCACGAGCTGTGATTTTGGTGTCCTTCGTGATATTGAGGCGGATCATGGATCGCATGGTGTCGCGCAGGGTTTTGTGTCTATCAAACTCTCATACAGACAGCAATACCGGAATCCTCTATGATACGTCCTGAGATCGAGGAGGATCGCAAACGATTCCACAGAATCCTGCCTTCCTTCAGTTCCCATACGGGCTGCGATATCTTAAAGTAGTTCATTAAGAAACTCTTGAAAAAGCAGAAGGGCCCGGTCAAGAACAAATTCCAGGCAGAGATCATGAACATTGACGTGTTCCGGTACTCCACAAACTTCCATCTGGATAATTTCATCCCCTTCTTCGGAGACTTCTCGGGGAGTAGCACCCGTCATCTGCTACGATGTATGAACATACGTCCTCCGAAGGCCGAAGCGGAGGCTGTGGCTATGGGCGCTTAAATCTCGGAACCCATTCAACTAAGTCTCGGAAGACTGACAGTGTTCGAACGAGGTCTCACGGCTCACCGCCGACTTCCCATGGAACTTCATTCCGGGATACTTCCCGCGATCCCTGGCAATGTATGATTCGATTTATTCGTCAATACATCCAGCAAAGACGCAGTCCCACTTCTAATAGCTCTCGGGCGAGCAATCGTTCTCGTGAGGCTCGCTCACTCATCCGGACGGCCATAGCAAACGGGGAGACACACAAACTAGCCTAGAAATCTGTCAGAGCTATTAGTAAACAATACAGATCGTCTGAGGCTGGAGGGCTGGAGATCCTAGTGTTGTGGACACACAGATAGAGGAGGCAAGTATTGCCAAGAGATGGAATTATTGGGAGAGAGGACGGTATCGACACTCCTCCTATGGGGAGCCTCCGTGGGACGTCAACAGTCATTCGGTGTATCTGTTCGAGACGTCGGCCGTTTTCGCAGAAACTCGAAGACATCCTCCATCGTGGAGCGAACACTCTGTGTCGGTGACGATTGGCATTCGTGGAGACCGAGAGCGGAGATTTTGAGGGTCGTCAGTAGCTCTCGGCGCGTTAGCGTGACACTGAGAGCTGGGATTCTTTCGTGACACAGGATCCCCATCCGCGTCGCGATCTCTTACCGGTCAACGGATACTCTCCGAAGCAGAACCCGACACGAAGTCCGAAAACCTTCTGATAGGTGTTCTCGGAAGAATTTTTCTGGATAGCTACTTTAGCCCATCACCTTCTCCGTATTCCAGCGAATTTTAGCGATGAGCGACTGCGAGAATCATGGCACCTCGGACGAGGAGGTGATTTGCGAAGATAAAGAAGAACAACTGTTGCGCGCGGCGAGATCAGGGAAAGACAAGGAAGTCGAGGACTTGCTTGAGCAGAATCCTTCATTGAACGTCAATTGCAAAGGTGAGCCTTATAATGTTGTGGGAGCAAGTCGAGATCGGTCGCGATCGGAGTCATCCGAATCACGAGGCGCGAAATTATTCCTCGACTCATATAAGGCAAGAAGAAATGGAATCTGCACTGGACTCCGCTCCACCTCTCTTCCTACTTCGGTCACATCCAGGCAACGCGCGTTCTGCTCAAACGAGGCGCAAACCCTTCAGATCAGAATGCCGAAGGCGACACACCTCTACACAAGGCAAGTCGGCTGGAGGCTCAGGATCAGCGATCGGTGGATTGACCATGGATGAATAGTTGAGGTTGGATGACATTTTGAGCCATTCTGTTTGTTTAGGCTGCACTCACAAACCGAGAATCATTAGTCACGCTTCTGTTGACGAATGGCGCGGATATTTTCGTGAAGAATCACGAAGGCCGGACAGCTCTCGGAGTCGCCAGTGAGGTACGACCATCTATCAGATAATTAACACGTGCGACGAATGAATGCTAGATTCCTCGACAGAGATCGCAGAATTACACCTTCGGAATCGATTTCGTTCTTTCTCCCACAGCTGTATATCCAGAACGTGCTGTCTGCTGCTGAATTCGCCGATAAAGAGCGGAAACGAGAGAAATTCTTCCAGGCTGTAAAAGATGGAGATCATCTATCGCTCCAGCAAATGGTTAGTCTTCCCGCCTCTTCTCATGAAGCCACTCGGAGAACTGACCTCGGTATTCAGAGGCGCAGGGGCGCGTCGCTCATGCGTTTCTCCTTGATCGCAGCTCACAGACAAGGGTTCCGGGGTGATTCCTGACGTAAATAGCGTCGACGTCGTTGGGAATACAGCACTCCATTCCGCGGCCCGTCGTGACTTGAGGACGATCGCCATTGTTCTTCTACAATGCGGCGCTGATCCGAATAAGAAGAACCGCATCGGTTTGCGCCCGATTGATCTTGCGCACTCGGACCAGATGAAAAGCATACTTGACGTAAGTCTTGCCAGGTGCGAGTAGGCCGATCCGATCGTTCCATCCGATAGCATCCGAGGACTTTGCTTGATTGACGTTCAATGAATGGGGGAGAAGCCGTAAAGATCGGTTCATGGTTTCCAGGTCGCCCCGATCGAAGAAATCAAGAAGACAGTCTCTCGCTTCGAGGGTCCAGTCGTGCGAGTGGGTAGCAATTCTCCTGAAAGTAGACTCCGATGTAGCGATTGATTGATAGACGACAGATGACAGCATAGGTCTCCCTTTCAGAAAAAAAATTGATGAGAAACCAGAGTTTGTGGGCCGTCCTGGACAGAGGCGTATTATCATTTTTCCGGAGCAGAGCCGACGCTTCGACTGGGACCAATCGAAAACAGTTTCGCTATCTCGACAAAGCGATACTAGTCGTAAGTTGGACATGGGGAGGAATGATACGATGAGCGATCGCCTTCTCGGAGCGCGACTTCAACGGACGCCCAATTACAGCTGAATCCGCGGGACGACAGATGCTTCAGCGTCGTCTTATCAGACGGTCGCTCTGAACGGATATCGGTCGCGAATGCTCTGGACAGGAATCGATGGCTCAAATCTTTCCGAAACCACATCGACTTCGGTGCCGGTGCACCGGAGGGCTGCTCCGTACTCTCGTCGAAGCCCTCCGTGGCTCTTGGCTGCATCGAAGACGCTCTGTCGGTGAGTCCGACTTTTTGCCCTTGAACTTGAACTTCATCATCTTGATCGGGGGAACATCAGTTCTGATCGTCTATTTCCTTTCCTCGACAGACTGCGGAAGCTCATCAGAAGCTGCTATCGAGTGAGATTTCGGAGACTGCCAAGTTGCACACCACTTATCTGGCAACTTCTTTCGAGTCCGGTGATTACAGCCTCAAAGCTCAAAATATATCTCAAGACTTACGCACAGCACTTCAGCAAGTTTCTACTACCGCTGGTGCCACCTTAAGATGCTTGGAGAGCTGCTTACTCCTGATGAAACAACAGGAACAGGTGAGAATTTCTGGGCCATTCGTCGTCCCCGAGGGGCAGAAGTTTCGAATCACCGATATGCCCGTGTGCTTTCATGCTTGCCGGGGGTCCATCTTGCACCGCATTGAGTAATCAGGGAAATATTCCTCTCCGGCAGAGTCGAAGCTCGCTACTCGCGAAAGAAATTCAGAAGAATCGAATGCTGCGGGAGACTTTGGAGGCTTTCGCTGTGGAAGCCGACAACGCTCAAATTGTGAAGCCCGTGGAGGTACAGTCAGCGTTGAATTCTAATTATAATTCAAACCCGCTCCCCGTTCAGGGTCGAGCTTTTAACACCTTCGGGATGGAGTCGAATTCTCTGAAACCCAATGAATAATACCCCTCACCCCACAGGATCACTCGACAGGCAAAATCGATGTCTTGTCGACCTTGGAGGAACTCTCAATTACGGATAATTCGAAAAGATCGTCTGACGACTCGTGGCAGTCCGCAGATTCGTGAGATGTGAAGACTCATCCGTCGGCTGACGCTCATTTCTGTGATCCGATCATTCTATTCCTGTGACATAATGGGAATCACTCGTGGTATGCGCCTCCTAGGATTTAGAGATAACTCTGATTTTAAAAAAGGAGTATTATGTCGGAGGGTCTCTGGCGAATCTCCCAGGGAAAGGCTGGACGCGGAATCTTGTGATTCATGATTGTATCATCATACAAGGGTGGAGTTTGCTCACACATGCTGTGAAAGGAGGCTCCCTCGCGAGAATAAAACTTTCCAACGCCTCCGGAAACTGCGATATGGGGTTGTTTTTTCTCCCTCCACCCACACACCTTGAGGCATCTATCCTAACAGGTCCGCACGAGAATCAATTTCTGATCTGCACGCCTCGTGAGCCCTGAGATACTCACGAGGAGGCTGATATTTCTGGAACTTAATTCTCGGAGCGATCTCAGCATCGCGCCCCCTCCTAAAACATTTTTGATCACCGGTTCGGCTCTGTTGACATGTTGGCAGCCTGTGGAGAGGCCTCCGAGCGGAAGACATGTGGGAGGCGAACTATCCTGTCGCCATATTTTCCTCAACCTCAGCTCGATGTTCTCGACTTCGCTTCCCTGACCCGTAGCCAAAAGTTCATTTTTGTCGGCCCATCTAGAAATCGCG